TCAAAAGCTATAACATAAAGGAGAGAAGAAAAAGGATCTCCTTGGCAGACTCCTCTTTCTATTCTGAAGGGACTTGAGTTATCTCTCAAGTCCATTATATGTGCTTCTTGGTTTGAGAACAAATTTTCAATTACTCTTCTAAATCTTATATTGAAGTTTATTTTTTCTAGAACTGTTTGTAAATATGTATAGTCGACTCTGTCAAAGGCTTTTTTCTAATCTATGAAGAGCATCCAGTATTGTTTAGTGATATCCGTTTGGTTTCTCATAGTCATAAGGATATTTAGAGCAGTGTCTGCTATTGATCTCTGTATAACAAAGCCCTGTTGGTGGTCTGGGATTATAGATTTACAAACTTTGTTTAGTCTGGTAGCCAAGTTTTTCATGAAAATTTTGGCATCGCAGTTGAGTAATAAGATTGGCCTCCAGTTATCTAGATTGTTTAGATTTGCTGACTTCTTGGGTATCAAAGTTATTATATTCTTACACCAAGACATTGGAAGTGTTCCTGCTATTAGGACTTGATTGAAGATTTTTTCCAGAACTGGAACTATTTGTTCCTCCATAAGCTTATAGAACTCATATGTGAGGCCATCTATTTCTGGAGACTTGTTGTTTGGAAGCTGCTTTATTGTTTGACTGATTTCTTCTTGCGTTATAGGTTTGGTTAAGCCTGTTTTTAGCTCTTCTAAGACTTGTGTAAGATTACTGGTTAATTCGTCAATTGCTTTCTGATCTGTTTTCGTATTGTTCTTTAATGAACTTCAGAGTATCTCCTTTATCATTCTTGTTGATACTGTTAGACCCTTTGACTATTAAAAGTGCCGAGTTTGCATGTCGTGACTTATAGTAAGAGAAGAAATATTTTGTAGACTTCTCTCCTTGTTCAATCCACCTTGCTTTCGAGCGAGTCTGCCACCTGTCCGCTAAAAGAGTCAGTTCCTTCTGCATGGCGGAGTTAAGATCCTCGCATGTAGCGTGTAAGGATGATTTAGTCAGGTCTTCTGCAATTTGTTCTTGAAGTTTTGTAAGTTTTTTGTTAATCTTTGAGATCTTGTTTTCTAGAGCTTTTGGCTTCTTGAAAGCTCTTATGATTGACTGAATCCTTAGCTTTTGTAGGTCCTACCCTGATAATTCTTCAAAAGACATAATTTCCTCTATTACTTCTTTTTTCAAAAGACCATTTTTAAAAGAGTTCTTATCAAACCTCCAACTAGAAGCTTGATTCATCTTTTGTCTTTCAGCCAGAATGTATTTAATTAGTAGGTAGTCCGAGTTTCTAAAAAGTAGCTTTGTAGATGATATAAGATGTTCATAGTTCTCATCTATAAATATATAGTCTAGTCTGGTTGCCATAGTCTAATTGTTTTGGACCTTTTGGTGAAAAGTGAGAAAAGGTTTTTGCTCTGCATATATGGCAGAGTCAATGTAGTTCTTTGTCAAATTTTTAAGTTGAGTTCTGGTATTGTCATTTTGTGGTGCAGCTTGGCTTATTCTGTCTGTAGTTGGGTTTGATTTGTATTAAAATCTCCTGCCAGAATGTTGATAGTATTTTCTTTGTGATGTAGGGACCATTTGTTAAAGAAAGCTGTTCTGTCTTTTATATTTGGAGAAGCATATAGATTTGTGACTAAGAAGGATCGACCTCTGTATGTGAAGCTTGTAAGAATCACTCTTCCTTCATATAAGATTTCAGTATTCTGAAATTTTATTTCCTTTCTTCCTGCCAATATAGCAGTCTTGTTTGTCCAAATTGATTCATATATCTATTGCTTCTTGATAAAGGTTTGTGTTGCCTAGTTGTTTAGATTTGTTTTTTGTAGTAGTATTAGGTCTAAATTATAAGATTTTAGAAGTGTCATTGTTTTTTGTCTTTTGTTCTGATCATTAAGTCCCTTTACATTTAGGGTAGCAATTTTAATTATTGCTTTGGTCATCAGATATTATGAAAGTAAGTGTGCTTTTATTGAGCTTTAGGAGAAATCTCCTCTATTTGTCCTTTCCTGTATGAAGCTTGTCTTACTGTAGCTTGTTTACGTATACTTTGGTTTGTTTGTTTCTTTTCTTCCTCTTGTAGGATATCGTTGTAAAGTCTTCTTCTATTGGAATTTCTGACGATGTATTCTTATGAGGAGAGTTATTTTCTTTATCATTATTCTTGAAAGATGGGCTGTTTATTGCAAGTTCATTTCTTGTTATGAGTTCTGCTTCTGAGAAGGTGATTGCTTGTTCAGCATCTTTCTGAGTGTCTTCCATTTCGTCATCTGTACTATGTGAAATATCACTTATTTCTTGTTTATCAGGTATTTCTATGCTTGTTTCTTCTTTTTTTGGTTCCTCTTTCTCTTCGGTTCTTGAAAGACTCCCTGCTTCTTGGGCTGTTTTATTAAGGTAGTCTTTGTTTCTTGCTTTGGATACTTCTTTGAACTCTCGATAGTGCTGTCTTAATGCAACCGACTCTTTGAATTGGAGGCATTCTTTTTTTATATGCCCTTCCTGGTCACAGAAGTAGCAGACTTTAGGAGCTGCCTTCTATTCGGTTGTGATTTTATTGTCTCTGAGATGAGTAAAGCGAGAGATTCACTTTTCTAGATCCTCATCTTCTATTGTTTCAAAAATAACAATCTATTGGTCAGTTAAATATGGTGTTCCCTCAATTACCAATGGTTTGATTGAGGCTATTTTGCTAAAATCTTGAAATGCATCTTTGATTAGCATTGTTATCTCTTCTTTTGCTTCTAATGGGACATTTCTAAGTTTAACTGGAAGGAAAGACTTGTGTGAGTCTGTTGGAATATAACCGAAGTATGATTTGTTGAGGATGTTGATACCCTTAGTCGCATGGTGGCTAAGAGTA